TCACAGAACGAAACCGAAGAGATTTCGGGAAACGAATAAATTTTTAGGTGGCCCAGACTTTATGAAAACAGCTGTAAACCTAAATTATTTCAACATAATAACGATAATTACTATAAATAAATGCGTATAGCGATACCGATACGTAGTACGTACGTAATAAATAACATATTTGATATGAAATTATGTACTTCAAAGATGAGTATATGAAAATAATTGACTCACCGAATATAGACTTGAGCTAGTAAATGCTTTTAATTTGTTGATTTATTATAATTTTTTGGAGAGAGTGAGAGCTACCAATTTTAAGAATATCATATCATTTAGAGAAATTATATATATATATATTAGCCGGCTAAGCTTTTATAAGCTTTTTAGCTACGTAACTAAGTCGTTTAAATCGGTTACGGTACGATTATTTCCCCGACATGACACTTACTCGACATCACGCATGTGACAATTTGCTAAAAATATATACCTACAGTTAACAAAATGCTAATACTAACCCTATGTGATGTCGGGGAAATAGTACGTATTTCGGGAAGACTGATTTCGGAAAGTGAAAATCAACGGTTTAAATCAGCTAACGATAGTAAGATCTGATTTTTCTAATTACATACAATTAACATAAAAAGCAAGTCCGCCTACGTAATTTCGTCATATATGGTTATATTGATAATTTTAATGACATCGGCTCAAAAAAACGGGTAGATTTTCTTTAACAGAAAGTGCGGAATCAAACAAATGGTGTGATTCTAAATCATCACGTATTATAACTTATACAAGTAACATGTGAATTCACATGTATTAATATTGTAACTATGTGATGATTTAGAATCACACTGTTTATATGTTATACTATTATACGTAATACGTAATTCCAGTTTTCAGGCATCTTTTTTATATAAATATATGAATAATTGACTCTTCATAATTCATTAATTCTCTTTCCACAAGTTCTTTTCAATTAATTCTTACCCGTCTCCATCTACAAAACAACGCTTTAAAAAATTTAATTGATAAAAAAAAAAAAAAGACTAACGAAGATGGCAATCACGTTTTCTGACATTTTTAAAGTAATTTTCGCCATTATCTTTCCACCACTTGGTGTTTTTCTTGAACTTGGATGTAACAAGGATTTATTAATCAATGTGCTGTTGACACTACTTGGATACATTCCTGGTACGTGATAAATTTCTCTGTTTTTTTATTACCTAATTAATGTATTAATTTTATTTAAATTATTATTTTAAAGGAATTATCCACGCTTTATATATAATTATCAAATATTAACTATGTTGGTTCTATAATTTAAAAAATGGATTACCATTAGAATATTATGCTTAAGATGTAACATAATATTCTTATGCTCATATTATTTGTTGATCATTGTACTATTTTATAATCATGTAAAACTATTAATTTAAATTATCTAATTAAAATTGGAAGTTCGTTTAATTTATTTTACATGACCATACTCGTTAAAAGTGCGATAGATCTCTTATCTCATTCTTGTTAAATAGTAATGGACTTAATTCATATACAAGTCGAGTCGAAAATAATATTAATGCAAAATTTTAACTTGTTCATGTTTAATTTTTAATTTCTGCTTAACCAATAAACTTCTAAATCTCCCGAATATTTTTAACTTAATGCTGACCAAAATTAACATTAATCTCAAGTAATTCAATAACTTATGGTTATACCCATTTTACAACGTTCGTTTTTGGTGATTTGTGATAAACCTAATATCTGTAAATACAGTACATCGCTGGTCGAGACTAATGATGCCTCTCGAAACTCGAAACTTTCGAGAGCATCGATATCGAAACTGTCTCGAAACTAGTTTCAACAAAATTTTATTTTCTAAACTTCTCGAAACTCATATCGAAACTCGAAACTTGTATCGAAACTCGAAACTTGTATCGAAACTCGAAACTCGTATCGGAACTCAAAACTCATATCGGAACTCGAAACTCATATCGGAACTCAAAACTCGTATCGAAATTCGAAAGTCATATCAAAATTAGAAATTCATATTTAAAGTCAAAAGTCTTATTAAAATTTGAAAGAAATGTTTTAATAATAATGAAATACTTTATCAAAATAACTAATGTTTGAAATACTTTATCGAAGTAAATATTTTTTAAAGTTAATAATCAAAACTAAAATAAATTTTTATTTAATAAAATAAATTTATCTTACTACATTAATATAAATTATAATTATCTATACTAATGTAAATAAATAATTTAACTAAATATTATAAATATTTTTATTTAATCCTTATAATTTTTAGACTCCTGTTTACGAAGTTTAAATTTTTTGTTAATGTTTCTTCTAATTGATATTGTGAAGTAGAACTATCAAGCTCTTCACTACTATTATAACTATTTTCTGTAGTATTTTGAGTTATAACAGTTTTATTTCTTTCTTCAATTTCATTATTTTCAAAAATTTCTTCTTCAACTTTCTCTTCTATTTCTTCTTCTATTGTTTTGATTTCTTCTTCATATTCTTTTTCAATTTCTTCTTTAAAATTTTTTAGAAATTTATTTATTACATTTAATGAATTATAATTATTATTTTCAATTGTTTCAACTTCATTTTCTTGAATATTTTTAGTAATTTCATTATTAATTATATTTAAATTTATAATTTCTTCAATTCAAATTTATAATCTTTGTATATTTCTTTCTATAAATTAAATTCATCATTATTATAGTCTAATATTTCAATATTATCTTCATCTTTATTATTTTCATTATCTTTATTATCTATATAATTTTTATTTTAATTATTTTCAAATATTTTAATCATTTCTTCTAATTCTTTTTGAGTTTTGGATTTTTCATAATTAGCTAATAATTTTTTAGAATTAGAAACATTATAACAATATAATTTAGTCATATTTTCTAATTTTTCTAATTCTAAATTTTGTCTTTTTTTGTTTTAAAACTATTCTAATATTGAAAATATTCTTTTATAGCTTGTAGAATAAGATATTATTGCTAATATTTTTAAAATTAATTGTTGAAGATAATGTTTATTATTATCATTATTATCATTATTTAGATAGTATATTAGCTACTAATTTATTAGATTTCTACTAATATTATATTATAAAGTATTATTAAAAATATATTTAGTTGATAGTTATAAATTGGTTTTAAAAGAATAGTATAAGAATTTTTAGATTTTTTTAGATTTTTTTAAAATAAAATAGTAGTTTTAGCAACTTTACAAAATTATAATTTTTTGATTCTTTTTCCTATAAAATAAAATAAATTATTAAAAATATTATTATAGTAAAAAAGATTTATTAATAAGATAAGATTATAATAACTTTTTTAAGTTGAATTAAAGATTTGTTGTTTAATAGATTGTGTTTAGTTTATTGATCAAAGTAGTTTTTAATATATTTTTTGATTAAGTCAGAATTAGTAATTAGATCTGTATTTGTTTTAAAATTTTAGAATGAAATATAGTTAGTATACCTATTAAAAATACTATTAATTATTCTTGTTAGTTGTATTTAGAGAGCTATATATCTTTTTTTAGTTATTATATTAATTTGTTGTCAAATATATATTAAGTTTTCTACTTCTTGAGCTTTGTATAAAGTTTTCTAATATATTTATATATTAGTAAGCTATATTGAAATTTGGTTATTATTGATAAAAAAGTTATTAATATTTAGTTATTGCTATTGGTTAATTTTGTTAATTAAATATATAGTATTAGTTAGAATTAAAAAGTTATTATTAAATACATATTTAACTTGTTAGATAATTTGTCTTATAAGTTTTAGAGTTAGGTCTGGCGATCTTAGTGTAGTAGTTAGATTGCCAGATCACCATGTAAGAGGTCTGGGGTTCAAATCCCACTGTTGATGAATTTGAATAATTACTTGGACCTTTGTATCTAACTTATGGTAAACCCTGTCTGTTTCTAGAGTTGTAACCCTGTAAATCACATTGCACCAATATTATCTAGATATTGGAAGTGTAACAGAGTATTTGGCGAGACATAACATTACATGAATAAATCTTGATAGGATCTACAGGCAGGGAATCTGCATGGTAAAAATTCCGAGTAGGTGAAGTAGTACGGCTTTCGACAGTTATAT